GACTATTTAAAGATAGGAGAGGGGCTGGACTGCCGTTTCTCTAGTCTAGGCTAAGATCCTTTCCCTAGTTTTCTGTTTTGTTCTTGGTCTGTTGTTTTCTTTCCTCCCCTGTACACTTCCTCTGTTCTCTGAAAGTCCCCTTTTGCTGTATCTTAGGGAACACCAGTGGCTTCCGCTTCCCATTCACACGCTCATGCTGGGAGTCCCACGGTCTCTTTCCTTGGGACAGACTGTCTTCTTTAGGCAAGAGCTTCCTTTACTGGAAACCAGCAGGCCACCAAGGAAACACACACACCCCGGCCTTTCTGTCTCTTTCTGCCCCACGCCGCTTGCTCTTGTGTTTGCATGGGATGGGAAAGGGGGTGTGATTCTTCATGAAATAACCTGGCTCCAGTGAAGGGTTAGGCAGCCTGCGCCTCCTTTCCCATTGTTTCCCGATGTTCCCTCCCTGCAGCTGGTGTGGACTGGGTGGAAAGTGGATGTTCTCCGCCGCTGGGCTGTGTCAGAAGGAAAGTTTGAGCCATCCAAGTCCTGCAACTGTTTCTTTTTCCAAGGTCTCACTGCCTTAAGGGTCTCCATTCAGAAATTCCAGAGCACCTGGTCAAGGAGGGTGATTCATCCTCACATTCACAAACCAAATTGTCCTCTTGAGGTCAGCAGATTTTTTTTTCCTACCCAGAGGAGTGCATTTTTAAAAGTCGCCAATTAAAACCCACAAGCCTGGTTTCTAAATGCAAAACACAACAGTTCCTGTCATTAGCTGGCGGCCAAAACCCTATTACATAGTTGGCCTCTGCAGAAGGCAAAGGGTGTAACTCTCAGTGGCTTCATGCCTCAGTGGTATTTTTCACACCATAAGATGCACTTTTCCCCCACAAAACGGGGGTGGAAAGTCTGTGCGTCTTATGGAGCGAAGAAAACAGATTATATTTTCATGTTTTCTTCTCCAAAAAAAATGGTGCGTCTTATGGAATGGTGCGTCTTATGGAGCGAAAAATACGGTAATTAACAAGTCACTACTTTCATTTTTCTGGCGCGCACCAGTCTTGTAGATGGGTGTGCACTTATGAATCTTAAGAGGGGACTCATCCGTTCCCAGTGAGCAGTGGCTCTGCGTTTCCCCATTTACCTTCTGGAAGTGCAACTCCAGAATGGGATTTTGGCCACTGATTCCTGCGGATGATTATTTTTGCATGAGTTGCTGGCGCTTTTCTTTTTCCGGAGCCTGCAGGAGATCGCGCCTGAGGTCTCCTTCGCAACTTAGATGTTGACTTCCGGCTTTTGGACCGTGTCTTGCTGTTCAGAGAAAGTAGGCCCCATAGCTGATTTCTGGAGTGCTTCTCTAGTAGAGAGGAGAAGGAGGTAGGGAAAGACGCCTCGCCTTGCTTGTGCTGTGTAGCCGCAAGAGGTGTGTGCGCGAGAAAATCAGTAGAAAGCCTCATTACAGCAAGTTCCTGCAGCTTTCTGTTAGGAATGCAAGCTTGTCCGGACTTGTGGGTGTCCACCTGCCAGTTTCTTAGTGAGATCCTTGTCTTCCTGATGACCAGTTCTTCCACAATTAAGAAGACGAGAACATTGACCGATGTTAGTGCAGCCAGGCCTGTGTCTCTGTGCACAAAGAATACAGCAGTCAACCTTCCAAAGAGTTTTTGTGTGTTTCCATAAAACGGGTTAGTGGATTCACAAAGAGAGCTGGGCAGAATCACTCAGCCTTTCTCTCTCTCTATCCCACTTTTTCGTCAGAAGCGGCTTGCATGGTGGTGCTTCTGCGCAGAGTCTTCTCTCCAGATGGTCGTTCACAGAGTTGAAATCCCAGGTTCTGTCTTTCTTCCAGAGCGAAACAGGCTTCGCTAAAGGGGAAGGAGCCAGCCCAGTAAAGAAGCTCGTGGTGGACTTGGAAATAGCCACCTAACTAGTTAACCTGGGGGGGGGAGGAGAGGGATGGCTTCCATTTGACAGGCCAAAAAAGAAGGGGGGAGATGAGAGATCTGGGGGCATTAGTTGTTGTTCTTAATTTGCAAAGAATGGGGTGTTCTCATTTCAAGCTCTCTGAGTGGCCGAAATGATCTAAAATTGGGTACCTAATAGGTAGTGATGCTTTTCTTTTCTTGATTGAAAATAGCTGTGGCTCTTCTTGCTATGCCGGAATAGTTATCACAGAACAACCCCATTGGTGGTGGTAGAATCAAAGAAGACCAGAGTCATAACACTTTGGTGATGGGGCAGGTTAGACTTCAACTCCCAGAATGCCACAGCTGACAGAGCCTTACTGTGCTGCTGGGAGCATTCTGGAAATGCTGGAGGCGTCAGTGGTTAAGGTCTCTGGCTGCGCAGCCAGAGGGTTGGGAGTTCAATTCCCCCACCGGGCTTCCATGATCCAGAGGGTCCCTTCCACCTTTGCCTTTCTAAGATTATATTTGTCCTTATTATTAAAAGTTTCCCAGCTTTGAGGACAATCAACCTTAAGAGTGGTGACCTTGATCTCCCTTATCTGTTATTCCACGCTTTTTACTTACCTCATTTCTTTGTTCTGTGTTTGCAACACCGGGACCCCAGGGGGGGCTCACAAAGAATTTTTTAAAGGTAACTAAAATTGTAACAGCATTTGAAAAAGCAGCAAATCATACAATCCTACGTGCTAGCCTATCAAATTAAGATCTTCTTAAGAATCCCTTCGGGCCACCAGTAGCTTACAGAGAGTTTAGGAGCTATTATCGCTCTTGAATTTCACGCTGGGTGTATTTAACCAAGGATACCGTGGTGGCTTATTTGTTGTGCTGATTTAAGAACAGCCTTTTTAGAAAGCTTGGTCTCCTTGTGCTTCAGGTGGGGGGAGGAGAGGTGCCATCTGTATCTGCTAAATTCTCAGGAGGGGGGGAAATGGCTGTTTTGAGTCCCCCGACACCCCCCCCACCCCTTTTCTTCTTTTGATGACAGTGAAGGCTTAATTGACTGTTGTGGGTGGCATGACATCAAAGAGAGAAGAGGAAGTCGCAGAACTGCAAAAGGAGGTCTGGAGCTTTGCAGTTGGATGCTTTGAAGGGAGATCTGAGTTCGGAGCAAAAAGAGAGAGGGTTTCCCCACGTCTGGCTGTGCCACCCCTTCCCCTGTTAGCTTTGTGTGACCTGTGCAAGGTTGTTGGGCAAGGAAGTTGAAGATGGACAGATGGAGACTGGTGGGTGGCCTTGTGTGAGTCAGTCAGAGCTAGACGATGGATGGGCAGCTTGGAACCCACCAGATGTTTTGGGGTATAGGTTCCCCAGTCGCTGCCCCTTGGCTGGGATTGATGGGCATTGTAGTCCAAAACATGTGGCATGCTGCTTTGCTTGACCCAGAGGTGAAGCCTTTCCACCTTTGTGAGTGGCGCAGGGTATTTTTTTACTTTTTAATCATTCAATTTTGAATTGGAAAGGAGGTTCGAAGCGGCTTATAAATAAAGCTGCGGTAAAAAAAAAACATAGCCACCAGGAAGGAACGCCACGACAAGGAGAATACATAATCAAGTTATTTTAAGCTGGCTTCAGAAGTCGAAATCGATGAAGTGTGTATGAAATCAAGGTGGTGGCAACCAGATGCCACCCACCCCGATGGGGGGAGCTATGAACAGTCTCTTTAAAAATACATCAAAGGACTTAAATGACAAAAAGGCCCTGTTTTGTCTCGTCTGAAAGTGCTCACGCCTCCCCCTGCTCCCGAGGGGTGAATGGAGGTGGTGCCACCCTTGAAAAAGACGTACTGAGTTACCTAGAAGTGGCATTCGGTGGGGCCCTGACATTTGGGGCAAACCTAGACGAGAGAAGGCTGCTTTGGATTGTGGCCACGCCTGGAAAGATGGCCGTGGTGTCTTAATTTGGGCTGCGAGACAGAGAGACACCAGGGAGCAGGTCGAAACCCCTGGGGAGCAGCCAGAGAGTCCCAGAGACGGGACATCATGCTTTCCTGCTGAAACGCCCTAGCTGGGGGGGGGCCTTCTGGCATCTGCAGCCCAAACAGGTGCCTTTCCCCAGCGCTGCATGCCACCTGACAGGTAGAGCAAAAGGCAGAGCGTAGCAGAGGGGGGGGGTCTTGCATTTATTTTTCTTCTAGTTTTTCTGTGCAAAGCATCGTCATCCAATTAATATTCATTTGTGAACCAGAAATGTCAGGCGTCGTTTTAATTTGGTAACCCTCCGCAGCACAAAGGCTTCAGAAGAGGTTTCCACCCTGAAGCGATCGTCTCCTTGTGTGTCTTAAGCCTGAAAAGCATGCCTCTTGGGAGGGAGCTTCCTTGGCAAGACGTGTGCGGTTGCTGACGGGTGATAAGTGCCTTTCCAAGGCCCAGGATGTGCTCATTTTTAGCTATGGAGACCTTTTTGATAGGTGGTGGAGGATTATTATAAATTGCATAATATTTCGCTGTCCTAACTGGCATCAGAGCAATTCACCAGTGCAATGAAATATCACTGCAAGGCCTTTTAACAGTTTGTCCAACATTGCAGTGTTGCAGACAAAATCGCCATTTCCGAATCCTCCCTCCCTCCCTCTTTGCACTTAATGCTTTCCGAAGTGTGCTGCAGTCCATCACCTTAATGGTGGAGTTTCAGACAGAACACAAGGCTCTTCCCAGCCCAGAAGGGCTGTTTTCGTTTGGAGGAGCTGCAGCTGGCACCCCAGCCCAGTGGTTCTCAAACTTGGGTCACCAGACGTTCTTGGACTACAACTCCCAGAAGCCTTCAGCACTCGCTGACCAAGATTTCTGGGAGATGCCGTCCAAGAATGATCAGGGACCCAAGGTTGGGAGCCGCTGCGCCGAGATGATTCCGGGGTCTTTTAAGAATGGGCCCTCAGACACCCCTCAAAGGTTCCTCACCCCACTGAGCCGGAATCGCACGTTTGTCTGAATGCACGCACACCGAGTTCATGGCAAATTAGTGGAAATGTAGGTTTCCTGAAGAGAGAGCCTTTGAAGCTTGCCACCGGTCGGACAAAGAGAAGGAATATTTGCTGGGTAATTTTCAAACCATTAACAAGTACAAATGTCCTCTGTTTGTCTCCCGGTCTTATCTCGGCTCCACATGCCTACGTTTCTTTTCTTTTCTCCCAACAGGTCACCAACCAAAGTTGCGCAGCCAACCCCAAAGGTGCGTCTTTTTGTCTAAATGTTTGTCCGAAGCGAACGGCTGGCCCAGTCTTAACCCGGGGAGCAGCCAGGTCATTTTGCTCTCAAGGTTTCCGTCCCTGGAGAATGATGGGCAATGGAGGGAGAGGAATCGTTTTAATTCCCCACCGCTACTTAACGGAGTTTTTCTTTCCTACTGTGTTTACATCGTAAGCTTTGGCCATCATTTGATTCAGATGAAGGGGAGGAAAAAAAACCCACATTGTAGTCCTTGATGGTCCCCTGCCAAGGGCCAAGGAGAGATGGTGGGGAGGGGAGCAGGCAGGTAAGACCTGCCAGCCAGGTGGCACCTTGTGACGTTTGTTGATCTCCTTATTTACATGATAAGGAGGCCAATTCCTGGCACACCAGCTGGGTGTTTGCAGTGCACAATCTCCTCCATGTGCCCAGAAGGCAATCGGTGATTCCCTAAATGGGAAACTAGCTAGGGGTTCAGAAGGAGGACTGGGGTGTAGGTCCAGAAAAGCAGACGAGGCTTTGTCCAGCCAGTTCAAATTGTAGCTGACTGGTGCCATCACATCACCCATTGATGGCGCACGGGATTAACGTCAACTGGTGACCTTGATAGCGGAGAAGAACCTCTTCTTCCAGGAGCAGTTTGCCCTGTGTTAGGAAGAAACAGAAAAGGAAAGTGGCTCCATACACGATCCGGCCCAGTGAACTTTCCAGCTAGCTACCTTTCTTGCAGTCCAGAGGGGGATCAATTTCCAAGCTCTGATCTGGCCTGACCCCTCTTGGGAACAAGATGATGGGTTAAAGGGTCCTTTAGTCTCCCCTGGAAGCAACCATCTTGATTTTTGTGCATGTTTTTTTTCTTCTCTTGCCCTCAGCACCTCCAAAATCCTTTTTGCCCATTCTGATTCCTTGGAGCCGTTTCTGTGTGTCCCCGTTCTCCATGTACTGTTTTGCAACTCTGGGTTTCCAGTCGGGACTGTTTTAAAAAGCTCTTCCTTCTGCTGGATTGTTTCGCAGGAACTAGCCGGTGGTCCCCCCCAGACAACAGATTGCGAGCCGAGAGCGCTGGACGTCAAGCAAAATGACCCCAGAGAGGTTTGTCATACGAAGACCTGCCAGTGCTGGAGCGCAGATCTGTAAAGGGTTGGATAAAAAATCTCTTTTAGCCGGAGAGCCGTTACGTTTCTGAAACATGTTGACTCTCCTGATTAAGAGATTGTCTTGGTGAAGTTGCAGTTCCCAGATGTGAGTTATCAGTAGGGGTGATTCCAGCTGTTTTCCAAGCCATTCACTTCATCTGTGTAAACTAGTCACATTTTCTGGAGTCCTCTTTCCCAAATGAGCTGGCGTTCCCCAAACCTTTAAATCTTGGTGTGCAGAGAGAGGGGTTTTTTTCCCTATGGGTAAGAATCAAAGGCATCATCTCCTCCTAATGTTATAAAACAGAGGTGGAAAATCGCACCATGGATCACCTTGGCCCCCAAAACCTTGTTGAATTCCCCCTAGAGCGAAAAGAAAAGTATTCCACCCTAGTTCCCTCCAATGTGGGATAATCTGGGGGGGTGCAATTCTCTAAATTAGGATGGGGGTCCCCACTCCTTGTTCTGGTCATTCAGACACACATGGAGATCCATTAAAAAAGTTTGATTTCATTTCGAGGGGTTGATGTGCCTGTTTGGGGTGAGCAGGCGCCACTGTAAAAAGGGGTCACTGATGTGGCCCTGCTGCTGGGCTGTATCCATAACCACGTAGTCGTGAGGGCAGGACTTTCAGCCCAAGGGGAAAAGTTCAGTTTCTGAGAAATTCTCAGAACAACATTGTCAGTCTTTCAGGATGAGAGAAGAAAGGTGGTGTAGAAGCTGGGGACGTGGTTAATGGGAGTATCAAGAGGGGAGGGAGCGTGGCCGTCTCAAGCAGAGGTTCTTAACCTTGCCCTCCCCAGATGTTCTTAGACTACAACTCCCAGAAGCCTTTGCCACTGGCTGTGCTGGCCAGGGTTTCTGGGATCTGTAGTCCAAGAACATCTGGGCGCCCAAGTCTGGGAAGCTCTGATCTACAGCAGCCATTCTCAATGCGGATCATATGAAACCTCCTGGGGCCTATTGATGACCGGAAATGATTCTTTGCATGCCACCTTGTAAGGTTCGTTTTGCAACTTACACAATCCTGATTCCGCAAACCTCCCAGGGTCCTTGGCTTATTGAATACCGGAAACAATTCTTTGCATACTACCTTGTAAGGTTTGTTTTGCAACTTACACAATCCTGATTCCGCCTATATTTCTTTCATATTGTGTTCGTGTCTGTTGCAAAAAAAAAAGGTTGAGCATGGCTGATCTCGTCTGTTGCAAAAAAAAAGGTTGAGCATGGCTGATCTCGAGCATGCAGAGGGAACCAGCAGGGCCCTGCTTTTTGCTCTTATGCAAGCTGCCCGGCTGAATGTTCTGTTTGTCTGCTGTTTAGATCATCGACAACATTATAGAAGAAAGCCAGAAGACGCATCAGCTGGAAGAGGAAGATCCTTTGGGCCCGCCTGAAAATGTTCTGGCCAACTCCTCGCCAGAGGCAAATCCGTGGATTTCCAGGGCAGACCTTCTCCAGCACATTCCCGAACTGTTGGTTGCGGAAACGGTGGCGCAAGGGGACGGCGAAGCCCCATTGGATCATGGCCCTCTTGTGCCAAACGGCGGGGAAGCCAGGCTGGGCTTGGCGCCACCCGGCAGCGATGCAGCGGAACGTCGAGACGGGGAAGCCCCTTCAGCGGAAGCTGCGGCAGAGACCAAACCGCCGGAAGCCACCCACGAGGGACCGAAGATGGAGGAAGAAGCCAATGTGAGCCCAGCGGACGCCTTAGACCCGCCGACCGCCTCCGATTCCTCGCCCGCCAAAGAGTCTCCCCCAGGCGACGAGGCGGCTCCCGCTAAACCTCCGCGCCAAATCTCTCCGGAGCCAGACATCGTCGCCAGCACCAAGAAGTCCATCCCAGCCCGG